CTTGTTCCATGTATTTGCATTGTGTATCTTTCAGTCGCACCACATCTATGTCCGTGTGCACCCTGTTCAGAGAGATCAGACTGCTGATCACCTTTAAGACCTTCTTATTTCCCCTTTCCCTCATATTCCTCTTAACAGAGTGATGCTTACCTGCCCTTCCCCTTTGCAGCATGTTTGAAACAAACAATGGCTTGCTTTGCATGCGTTTTCTCTTCTTCCCTAAGAAACCACAGAGACAAACCCCACAGGCCCAGAGCAAACCAAGAAACCCTGCAGTACAAATAGCTAAAAATATTTCTTACAATAGTCATCTTGTTATTCACATATTTGTTCCCAGCCTCCCCATCTAATTAGACTCTGAATCCCATATTCACTTACGCTGGCAGATAGCTCCATTGTTTTCATGTTTTGGGTCTGTGACTATCTGCAGAGCTACAGTATAATCCCATTTACGCTTTCGGTAGGCAAAACCAAAGAGAAATGAATGCCCAAGCGAGGAGGAGCCTATTTGCAAAGACTGAGGATGGCCAAGGCAATTCTAATGCAGTTAATGCTATGGACTCAAATATGATGCAGGGCTCAAATATAGGGCAAAGAGAGAAAACCTTATTCAGTCCATAGATGTGTTGGATCACATGAGGCAGGAGCTAGGCAATTACAATACAATCCAAAGAGAAGTTACTGGATACCAAAAGAAGGAATATCATTGGCAGAATCTGTACATTCAAGTGGAAACATCAGTGGGATATGACAAATACAACAGAGGCAGGAGGAGTATCCAGCAGGTTGTACAGGGACTCGGATTACCCATGTTTTAAGAGCTTCAGTGAGCTGCTGTCTCCACATGCGGACAAAGCTGAGGGGAAGAGAATCAGATCGTACGTGAGCTGTCTCCTGTGCGTGTGCAACGTGAAGCAAGCAGCCCTGAAGCAAACCTGGAGCAAATGTGGCTGTTTCTTCCCGGCTCAGATAAATTATGGGCTTGCAGAGAAGCCAAGACATGCTCAGGAGGAGCAGACTTTGGGATGCAGCCACAGAATCGCCAGTTCGGTAATCGATGCAAGGCATTTGGCACGACAGCTTCTCAGCTGGATTTGTGAGCTGAGTGTTGGCCAACCACTATAGCTCCAAGCACATTAGTAGGGATGTGGTCATAAATCAGTAAGCTCCTGGCCCAGCAGCAGGTTCAGTAGCAAGGACCACACCAACTAACATGAATGTTCAGCAAAGAACGTTGGGGGATTACCCCCAAAGCATGATATAAGCATAACAAATGAGAGAGAGAAAAATGCCTGAACAAGCCTTTAGGGTAAACCTGAGTTGTCTTCTCCACACATTCGAGCAGCTACATCTACCTTCCTGGCAGCTGAATATCTGTCCCAGTATCAGGGTTGGGTTTATTGCTGCTGCATCTTCACAGATTCAAAAGTAAAACCAAATTCTATCAAATCAGATGACTTGATTTTGATTAAGGGCAAAGGGGAAGGGGAGAAGAGGAAGCTGTGAGAAGGCAGCACAAAAATTAAATGATCTGAAAAGAGATGAATTGAGAATATTTTCTTCTAACTCCCTGCCTGCTTCCCTGCCGTGTGGAAGGATGATAACATCTACATCTGAGGGATAGAAGGAAGCGTGCTTCAACAACGTGTGCAAAATCCATTTGCCATTCCGGCATGAAAGGGGCTATTGAGATGTGTGGTATTAACTGAGCTTTTATCTGATACCCTGCAAACTTTTGAAAGTCTCTTTTTACCCACAACAGGGTCAACAGCCACGAATGGTGTGGCTGAGATTAGGCTGTGCTGCTGGCACCGAGATCGCATCCTGGCATCGTGTCTGGTACAGAAATAAACTTATAAGCTTAGGGTTTCTCTCCTGTTGCTTAATGCATTAGACAAAAAAGCAGCCAAGAAAGAACCCTGATGTGCCATGGACTAACACAAGAGAAGCTAATGGCTAGAAACTAAGGAAATTCTGGCTCCCGAGCCTTGCCCTATTTGTTTTTTAAAATGCAGCACGCAAATTACCTTGATTTTTACGAGGTGTTTCAGGGAAATGCGCTGGCTCAAGGGGCTGATAAGAGACCACAAAACCTTTCCACCCCTAGGTTAGAAGCAAACCTACCCTGCTTTGTTACCAGCAGGATGTCACAGGGGGCTGATAACCTTGTAATTGGCATGCAAGTTTTAGGCTGCACAGTACTAAACCTGTAATAGGGGAATTGTAAAGGAGGCAGCAACATCAATTATTGATCCCAAATAGAATTAATAAAGAATGAACATTTACTACAGCTGATAAAATGTTCCATGCAGGATCTTTATCCTCAGTACAGCAGCAGAAACAAGACAATAACAGGCAGGGGTTGTTTAGCATCCCCTTCATGCCAAGCAAGACATGACGCCTTGTTTCTCACAAGGCAGAAGACTATGGAGCTGCCCAGGACACGGAGTTGGTTTCCATCATGCAATCAAACTTGAGCCATGCAACTATCTGATTCAAGCACTGGGTTTCAGTGCAGTTGCCCACCCTTATAGCTCATATAGGGGGAAGCAACGTGCTGTTCTAACCCTTTGCAAGCCAGCTGCAGATTTGCAGACAGACCTTGAAGCAGGCTGCTGTGCACAAGCAGAACTGGCCAGATTCTCTCCTCAGGTAAATAAACCCTCTGCTCAGAAGGCAGTGGTGAGGTTTAGGTGAGGGCAGAATAAGGCAGCTGAACCTGAAAGCACACGCAGGTTTGTTGTTAGTGGCAGAAGCATAACCATGTCCTATTGGAAGGGATGAGTGGCACTCAGGGTTCCGTGGTGTGCTTTACTGAGCTTTCAGGAGAAGCTGTCTTTCCCCTTGCCATAGAATTTCAATAGCAAACCTCCCTGGGTATTACTGTGTTTCAAGGCTGCTCTGTGTTCAGGCACGGGATTTCTCTCTTTTGAGGTTAAGATGATTTCTCATTTAGTTTGGATAGAGAGTTGCTTCCCCAGGCAAAGCCTCTCTGGAGACCACAGCCTCTGCTTGCTGTGGACATTTCCATTGATGATACTTTTCTTACCCCATCCTTTTGGTGTGGATGTGATAGCACCTATGTACATATTGTCGGTTCACACAAATCAAGCCCCATCCAGTAAAGCTCTGATAAGCAGCAGAGACCAGATTAAGGATAAAGGACTAGATTGCATCAAGGCTGTGCAATGCTTTGAATTCTCTTGAAGTTACTCTGGTTTACACCACCTGATGGCATAAAGCAAAGATTCTCCCATTGCCTTGAGGCAGGATGTTTTATGACCGAGTTCTATTTATTTGCACCCAAACTAAACTAACCTGCATTACGAATTATAGCTAAGGGAGGGGGTATTATTCTCCTTCTTCCAGAAAACTTTGCATTCATCAAAGTTAATTGTAATCGGCCGTGAGCTCCCATAAATAATCAGATGTATTGCTGAGACACAGAATAAATCCACCCAAATTATGGTAATGAGCAGGATTCTGGAAAAGTTTAATCAAAACTGTGATAGAGAATCACAATCAGCAGAAAACTGCCTCTTCTTAAAGCTCCCCTGTCTGCAGTCATCACAAAACCCCTAAACCCAGGAAAGAGTGGAGGCTTCAAGGGTTGGATGTCGGAAATTAAATCAGCAAGGCACTACTCTCCTCTATGCATCTTCAGGACTATATTTATGTTGTCATCAGCATTGTGACAGGAGTACCATATGTCTTGCTGCTGCTTAAACAGGACCCTAGGAATGATGGGATAAGCACAGGATAACAAGGTTTTGGGCATCTATACTAGACAGGGTTTTATACAGCCCTCCTCCTAAAAACCTTCCTATTGCACAGTTAAAGAGCAGCAGTCATCACCTTGCTTGGGCTTTTCCCTTTTATCCTGTAGCTCCAAACAGCAGTTTCAATACATCACTCCTGCTAAAAGCTCTGTCTTTCAGATCAGCTCCCATTTTCTCTTACAAAAAACGGGTGCTCCACAGGGTGGTCTCCCCTCTACATATCAAGGGGCAGAAACTCCCCCAGTCCTCACTGCTTGGGTGATAAAAAAGCTACCATTGTATCCTCCTGCTGCCATTATTGCTACAGCCCTAATAGCTGGGAACTGCCCATGTTCACAACTGATTGCTGTGAAGTAGCTGATGGGATTGTAATTTCATGTCTTATGTTGTCAGGGAGTAACTGTAAACTCAATTAAAAGCTGAGATCAGAAGAAAGAAAAGAAAGGAAAGAAAGAAGCAGGGGACGTGTGTATCCATATATATGTATGCGTGTGTGTGCCTGGGACAGAAATGATGATTGGTGTCCCTGTGCCCCACAATAGGAAGTATCTGCTTTTGATGAAAAAAGGGGGATTCAGAATGAGCTGAGGAAAACCAGGAGCATGACTGGGAAGGAATCCAGCTGACAAATTACATTGAGAACAGATCCTTCCAGGCGCAGGAGGCAGCGAGTTGCAGTTCTGATTGAATAGACTTGTTAATAAAAATACATTGAACAAAAAATGAAACGGTGAGCAAATCCTTTCAAATAACATTTCAGTCCTGACTTAAATCCGTGCCTTCGTTTCTGTGCTCCCCCTGTCCTTGCTCACTCAGCAGGACAATAGAAGAAAGTAAAAGAGGTGCAAACAGACTGAAGCCTGTCATGTGCCCCCCCCCCTCCAAGGATATAGATGGGGAGCAGAGGTGTGGAAGGACATAAGCCACAGCAGCCTAAAACATCTTTTCCTTCCCATTGCTTTAAAGTTACAGCTTGTTTTCCTGGAAGGGGAGGCAGCAAATCTTGGTCACTGTATTATATACCTAGCTCTGTCCCATAACAGGACAATACTGCACCTTTATAGCAGCAACACTTGTTTCTTCTGCTTGTTTTCTGCTACATCAGCACCCTAGAGGTCCACAGCAGGTCCCCACTGTCAAGTATAATGGCTAGAGAACTCTGTTAACCAGGAGCATGATCTCCATCAACTCCTGTAAAGAGAGCTCTCTTTATGATGACTCTTCCTGAACAAGTTGCTGGGGACTCCATGAAGCACCAGCCTATCTGTGCTTGCTTCACGTTGCTGCTTGGACCACTGTTTTCCTCCCTTCTTTAGCACAGAGACATGGTGAGCACCACTGGAGGGCCCACGTGTTGTTTGAAGGAGTCTATCCTATATTTGCCACCCCCTGGAGTTAAAATATAATGAGATTTATAAATAATAAATAAATCAGCAATTCTTTTTCATGTCTATAAAAGGCCGTTCTCTAAGGCTATAGAACCTTTAGAATTTCTAATGGAAGTGCAAGGGGAGAGCTAGAGAGTGTTTCTTCTTGATTTTCAAGCTACAGACATGATTTGTGGAGGTAAAGCTACAAGAAAAGAGAAAACAAGCAAATTAAATGTGATGAAATCAACTCTTTCAGTCCAGTACGGAGGAAAGAAAGAAGGAGAAAAGTGAAGTTTTGCATGGAACCTCTTAAGAGAAACAGTTACATCCCCTAGACAAACAGATCAAGGTTTTTTTAGTGCATCGACAGCATGGCAGTTTGAGCAACTCCTTCACATGCAACAGGGTGTTGAAAACATGAGCTCAGTGTCTGACAGATCAATAAAGAGGGAGACTAAATGGGGGAGAAGATACTGAAAAGCACTTATTAACCTGGGTCTTGTGAGTCTTTCTGTGTTGGAGAAACAGGACAGACTGCCTTTAGGGTCATTTAGTTCAATGTGCAGGGCGTAGGGTATTAATACAAATCCTTCCATATCTGAAAGACTGAGATACTAGCAAATAGACTGATATTCAAGCAAAATATCATGGATGAAACTAGTGCATCTGAGTTGAGGAAGAGCAAAAGAAAAGCCAATATCACACCCCCAGGTTCTGTCTGAGCAAAGCCTGCTCTGCCTTCTTCCTTCCTAATGAGGCGTTTTACAATGCTGATGGGAAAACTCCCTGGTGGAATAGAAGCACCAAGGTGGGAGCTAGGGATACACTAAAACTTATATACAGCAAGATGAAGGCAGGCACACAGGAAGGGAAGCAAAGCAGAAATGAAAGGGAATCAGGTTGACTTGCTCTACTGCACAGACCTCCACATTTGCTGTGGCTGTTTACTTCCATCACCACTTTGCTCCCCCCTAGAGAACAAGCCAGACCAATACAGACCCATGTTTTTTATTTACTAGAACCTTCTATTCAGTTGCCCCTGGTCCAGCAGAGCTTTTTTTGCCTTTGTTTTCCCAAGCACCAGAACAACACTGCTAATCCTACACAATAATATTAATGTAATCAATATGATTATGCCCATGAGAGAACGTCAGCCACTGTAAAACAACACAGCCAAAGGGATCCAGTAACAGAACAAAAACAAGGACAGGAGCTTATTTTCGGATTTGGTTTGTTCTGCTGTCGTTTCCTATGCGTTTTTTCTTAGCACTATGTAAAATAGGAATAGGTAGAGCAGAATTCTTGGGCACTGCCAAAGAAAGCCAGCCTTTTGATAAGGCTAAATACCAGAGGCTCGAGCTTAAATATTTGCTCTTCAGGCAATTGGAAGAACATACCCAAAGCTGTGACTTCCCCATTGAAACCCAGGTAAGTGCTGCCCAAGCTGCCTGTCAGTCAATGTTTGGCTGTGTGATTCTCTGTCTAGTACCACTCTGACAGGGGAGATTGTCAAACTGAGCCTATTGCTGCTTGGCTGCACGGTGCAGGCGCAGCAGAATCTGAGTATTGCTGTCCCAAGACAGCCGTTCTACATGGACTGTGACTGATCAGCACAGGGCAGAGGCCTCGCTTAGAGATGACAAGCACTAGTATTTCTTTACACTTGAAAGGGCTTGGACCAAACACAGAACAAGCAGAGCATCTGCGATCTTGACAGCACTGCCCCGCAGAACTCCAAGTGATTTTCTAGTGCTCTCACAGCCATACCTGGATGCGAACTTGAATGCTGCACTCACACTCTGAGACTGCATTTGTGGAATGAGTCATTTCCTGCCAATCTGGGACAACCTGGGGTTTGCTTTTGAAGGCATGGAGTTTTCTTCCTTGAGCAGTGCAGAATGCAGGAGCTGGCAGGGGGGCTCGGCCGCACGTACAGTTGTGTCTGCGCCTCGTGTTGCTAGGCGGGTTCTTACAGCATGATCCTCACTCTGATAATAGCTACCAGCCACCCTGCACACAGCCACATTGCTGAGAAAACTTCTGTTTAAGTTCCCCTTTTGGGGGTCAGCATCTCCCGGTTGGCACAGCCAGTCCCTTCAGTCTTTGCCTTCGCTTCATCTCTTTAAATCTCCCATTACTCCCTCTTCTAAAAGCTCTGAGATGGTCCCCAGAGGCCATACAAGAAATTGAATGAAGATTAAAATGCTGATCCAGCGCTGCTAATACCCCTCAGGAATTACACTAACATCCACTTGGAACGAGTCCCATCTGGATAACAGCAAGAAGTGCTCAAGAACAAGCCCTGAAGGTTAGTCGACATACTAGCTTTCTCTAGATCTCACGTCCTCTTCGACTTTCACCCCTTTTCCCTGGTGTTGAGGAATAGCCTCGAGACTGTATGCAGTAAAGCTCTGACAGGGATCACAGGGCTTTAGCCAGGTAAAAGCTGCCCCTGGTCTCAGGGCTGTAATGAGCCATGGACTAAGAAATGCCTGGATGCACTTCCAGGATGCCACACAGGACGTGCAAGTGTCTCATGCACGACTGGCCAAGTCCCCTTGCCTCCCTGAGGGGAGGAAGGGTTACAGCACAGCTAGGAAATCAGTGCCATTTAAGAAGGGCTGGACTCACATTGATCAGAAACAGAGGGAGCCACTCAGGTGAACAGGAGAATTTGGGTTGCCCCTTAAATAGTACTGTAAGCATAAAGGGCAAGGTTCAGCCCTTCCAGTGGAGATAACTCTGGCACAACCACCTTATCCAGTGACTGGAAACCAGCAGGGAGAAATGGACACTTCTTCAGTGTGGTTCATCTCCTCCTGAGATGAGCTCTTTGCCTGACTCACCCCCAGTTTCGCTTTGGACAAGGTACGGCGCTATACTCCCTGCTTCTCTTGTGCTTCTGCCCTCTTTCCTATCTGCAGGCAGTTCACTATTTGCTTCACCAGTTCACCACATTCTCTTTTAATGCCTTTGTTTTTGTCATAGATTTTGATGTGTGCGTGCACTTGTTAAATCTGGGCAGGAATGTGTTTGAACGCTTAGCCAGATTAGCCTGGGTTCTATTTCTTCTTGCTGAGACGTGCACTCCAGCCCTGGCTGACATTATATTAGTTGCTCCTGTTCCATTATCCATTTACAAGGAAGTGGGGGTGCGTGAAATGAAGAAAGCTTCATATGCCTTGCAAACACCTTTTATCTCCCCTTTGATTCCTCACCAGCCTGTTCCAGGATCAACATCCCCTTTGAGCTAGTAACCCTGATGCTTCTTGCCTCTCCCTGTTATCATCCCTGTCCAGGATGTTACTGATTTCCTGCTCTATCCTCCACCCCAGGCTCTCCTAATTTCTCCTTTTCTCCCTGGCTTGCCAAGGTCACCCCCTCAGTGTCCACATTATGAGCAATGCACTTTTTGTCTCCTATCCTTCTCTTCCCTGTATACCCAGCCCTTGGTATCAGCCCAGCAATCTGCAGTCATGGGGCTCAGGTCTCCATCAGCCCACTAAATTCCTGCTAATCCCAATGCCCACAGATGAGACGTTTCACTCTGGCTCTGATAGCCTGTGTTCTCATCCACAACCAGCTATCTCCAGACTCTTAGTCTATACAGTAATACTCCAGTTTATGGGGTCAGGATGCGGTGAATCTGGGATGCAGCAGAGCTGCCTATGGCAGTGGCCTGATTGCACCTTCCTTCGTTTTGGAGTAATAAAAGTAGCAGGTACCAGGTGCCTCTTGCTGCCTTTCTGTGCTGGCAGGTTATTTATATGCAAATTTCTTGCCGGTGTTTGCTGCTTATACACAAGATAACAAAACCTTCCATGGAGATGGGGATGGGGGAGAGGCATGCAAGAGCCTTTTGATCCAGCCAGGAGAGTTAATACAGTATTATTCACAACCAATTAGACTTTTTCAGACAGGAAGGGATAACCGTACACTGAGACACAGTTTGTTAAACTGAGATTGCAGCTGGGGCTTGGGGAAGGCAGAGGAGAAAAGCCCCTAGACAAGTATTCAGCTACAATTAGACCATATGAGGATCAAAGAAACACCTTCTTTGTGATTTATGTCTTTATTTGCAGTGATGCTACGTGTATCCCCAGTTTCTGGACCCTGCTTGAGTTAGAGCATTACGTAGCCAAGTGCATTGGCAGTCAAGTTACCTGCAGACCTCTCCAGACTGGTAGTGTGTTGCTGAAGGTAACTCACAGCCATGTCCTCTCTCTGTGCCTTTGCAAAATAAGCTTTGATTAACTGAAATATAGATGCTTTAATATCCTTAGATAACAAGTATTAGTGTGGCTGTGAGAACAGTAGAATCACAGATCTGAAGAGGCCACACTTACCAATGAAAAGCCACTGTCTACCCAGAATAGGCTGCAATTTCTCTACGAGCAAAACTGTATCATATTTAGAGCCCATAATAAAATCCAGAGAGGTCCTGGGTCTTTAAAAAAAACCTCTTAGCTGCCCATTACTGCCGAGAGTAGCATCTGCATACCCTGCTCTCAAACTGGCATTAGCATTAAGTGTTGAAGGCTACAGGTTTTGTTGCCTGGGTTTTTTCCTGGGAAGGCAGGAACAGAGAAGATGGAATTTCCTGGGAGGCATAATTTATTTCTTCCGGTAGAAAATGAGCAGTTCATGACTAACGCCATCAGCTCCCTGGAAATCAGGGCTGCTTTCCAAGGGTGCAAAAACCAGGAGCTTGTATCCCTCCACTCTCAGGCCAGTGCACAACATGCAGGCACCACAGCTCCGTACGGGAGTGAACCGCTTGGCCTCACTGCTAGCTCTCAAGCTTTACCTGTCGCCTTCACCAGTTGGGCAGCTGCTACCTCCAGGTCTCACCTGGACACAGGGATGAGCGGGGCAGTGAATACAAGGACTTGTGTGCTTGCTGCTCTGTGTTAAGCAAGGAAAGCAGCCTGGCAGAGGCTTTGCTGCTGGCTCCTGCCTCCCTCCAACCCTCAAGGGGCCATTCCTGGTTTTCTGCCGCTCCTAAGAGGAGATGCTGATGGGTCAGGCACATCAGGCACTGTGTAAGCCTGCCAATCCCTCCTTCTGCTTTCCCAAAGAGGAGGACTAGAGGCACTGCCTGTCACAGTGGATGTACCTCACCATGACAGACCCTGTCAGCTCTCGCTTCCCCTCTCTTGACAACATCAGGAAGAGGCTTCACAGAGCCTCAGGCACTTCAACCTGTCTTCCTTTCCAGTGCCTGCCACTGCTGTCTAAGCACGGAATGGTAGAAGGAAAGAAAGAGGATGAGAAAAACTACTCCAAGAGGGAGGGAAAGACCAGCAGAAGAATTCAGTGCAATAGAGCAGCACTCTTGACCAGCACATAGAAGCCAAGACTAAGCTCAGAAGCACACTCCTCCCTCTGACCATCATGTCTATACTAACAAGCCAAACAGGCAGCCCTGCTCCTTCCTCCACTGCATCCTCCTGCCAGCCTCATTTCCTGCTCTGCTCAGCAAATGCCTTTGGGATGGAATGGGACCTCAGCAGTGCTTAAATAAACTCTAGGCCTGATTTGACCCCAGCTTATGCCAGGCGAGGTCACCAGCCCTACCACAAAAGCAGTGTTGGCATTACCTCCACCTCCATCCTGCTCATCCAAGCACCTGCTCCTGTTTGGGCTCCATACTCCTATGGCCAGCCACACCGCTGCTCGGCTTTGCCAGCTGGCCAAATCCCTGCCCTGGGGCTTTGGAACAAAGATGTTGGTTGTAGTTTTCTGTTTGCTGGTGCAGCACTGGCAGAGGCTGAGCACTGAGTCTGCTGCTTCCCAAGAGGATGTGATGATCACTATGGGATCCACCCATCCTCAGGAAACCCTGTTTTCAATTGCAGTTTTAATTACGGATTAAATCAGGAGTGTTGGTGTGAAGTTAGTCCCCCAGCCAGGCTGACACAAGCAGCTGTTTTGGTTTACTCATTTCCTGTCCTCCCTTTACCTCTTGGCTGCTGAGTTATTGATGTGTCTTCCAAAGACATAGTGCTGCCAAGCCCTAAGACGCTTATTATATCATTTGTTTGGCATTTTGGAGCTTTTGCATGGTCCAAAGCAACAACCTGCAAACATGCACACAGACAAATCCCTGTTCCCCTTCAGAGCTCCAGAAAAACATCCTTGCAAAGAAACCAGTGAAGCAGCAGCTTTACCTGGGGGCTGCATCTCTAGCCCGTCATGATAAACTACCCTTGCTCCTTGACTCATTTCTGCCTGTGTTCATTCTTTATCTCCGAGCATATTTAATTTATGCTGTCTGAGGAGAAGACCCCCTTCCTGCCGAGCACTTAATCCACCATAGGGATTGAACTAAAAGCTCCTAACCAAAACCACTATACAAGTGAGATATTTAACTCACTACAGTAATCCCGTTATAACAACATCACCAACTCCAACAGTACTGAGATCTAACTTGGCCCAAAATCTCTGTATTCAGGTATTCTTCTCTCTTTTAAATCCTTGCCTTATCAAAACTAGGAGTGTACTTTGGGGACTATTCCAGATTTCAAGCCTGCTTTAACGCTTCAACTCCTTGTGACAAAGGACACCTGAATAACTAAGGAAGTTCTGATTTCCCATGCATCTCTAAGTGAAGGAGAAGGGAATCTGGGTCCTGAGACCTTCATGATTCAGATCACCTCACCATCTCCAGCCCATGCTTTCTGGTGAGAGAAGAGCTTTAGCCTCACAGACAGTGTCCCAGGGACACAAACAGGGATTTCATATCGTTACCTCTACCTTTTTTCTATGGAGTGATACTGAAGCAGAGAGCTTATGGCAGAATGGATGGCTTGTGGGGCAGAGGAGCCTCCTCTCCAGCCTCTGGTGCGAGTCAGACCTGCCCACCTTTGACACATGCAAGGAAAATGGATGAAGACCTCTCCCCAGACTCCCTCAGCAGATGCCAAGTGGACTGCAGCAGGGCATAAGCAGACAGAGGGAGCAGCAAATGAGTCTGACGAGCTCCATTTGCTATCCTGGTGAGTGACTTCCCCTGCAGAGATAGAGGCTGTGATCTCTGGAGGAAACTGTCAAATACTACTAGGAGCTGCACAGGGATTTATGCTGGCAGGGCCACGATATTTCACTTCGATGACGCTTGCTTTCTTAATATTTTAATCATACTGTTAACCTCCAGACTTGAGAGACACAGGCGGCTGCCACCCTTCCCACTGTGCCTTCCGCTGATGAAGCCAAGCCCTGCAGCACACACCACGCTGACAGCGTTCCGTACAGCATCACATCGCACCAGAGACCAACTGGGTCCCATTTGTCTTCCACCAAATTCAGCGGTGCTCATGCCTCAGAAAAGGAGCACAGAAGAAATAGGAAAGAAAGCCCAGGTCAAGGCAGCCAGAGCTGCAGAACTCACTTCTGCATTCCTTAATAACCTAAATGCCACGACACACTTGCTTTCCAACCCGTTCCATGCTGCATTCTTATGAATGAATGGTAATCAAAGCAAGAAAAAGCAGAGTAAGGCAAGAACCCCCGAGCGTTCAACCCCACATAGGATCATTTATCGCCTAACAAATTCCTTACGATTTCAGTGACTCAGGAAATTTATGTCCTTGATCTGTTCTGCTTTCTTCCCTCAGGTTGCTTTAGCTTGGGAGCTTTTGGGTTCGTTTTAACTGTATTATCCTAGCGTACTCATATCCTAGGGAAACGCTTCCAAGACTTGTGCATACAGAGATTTTCGCAATGCTTGTGGACACATTTGTCATGGGACTGCATACTTGCAGTATCTGATAAGGCAGATGATTTCCTCTAATCCAGGGTCCTGTGTCATATTAGTGTAAACTGAAAATCTGCATTGATCATATGCAGGTGGTGTGTTTGCCTGATGCTCGTTCTGTATGCAAGAGTAACCAGGCTCTCTCAGAGATGTACAATGGGTATGAAAGAGGAGCCCGTTCTATAGCAGAGAAAGGCAGAAAAGTACTAAATGCTTTCTTAACCCGGGAATTCAGACATGAACACTGTAATGAGTTTTCCAAATCTAAATAATAGTCTTTTCTAAGAGCAAGAAGCAAGCAAATGCAAGCCCCAGACAGGGGGAATTACAGAGCAAGTCAGAAGGCAATAACAAGACATCCCAGGCTGCTCCTCAGTCTGTCAAATGGGTTATTCCCTATGTTCTGCATGACACGAGATTGCAGGCAGGTGTCTGGCCGATCACAGGAGACAGGGTGATAAATCCTTCCTGCCACTGACTGCACTCCTGCTCTTCGCCACTGTATTTTGACAGGGAGAGAATTGAATAGTGTCACTAACAGACAGAGAAGGAATTATAAGGTTCATTTAGAAGGCAGTAAAGAGGGAATTTTCAATTTCCTTTTAAAATCACAACATAATAATTCTTTCAGTGTTTCAACAGGAGAGCAGGAGCCAATGGGACCTCAAAGTATTTCAGTATTGGGATGGGTCCTTACGCCATAGTTGAGAGCACAGCTTGGAGACCACAGTGGGCAGAGGAATTCAGGCAAATAGAAGGGTTGGTGCACATTTGTAACACCTGCAAAGCTAAAACTATGGCCTCTTTATACTGAAGCATATTACAAATGGGTAAGGAAAAGACCCTTTTCCTTAAGGAGCATAAGGAAACAGGACACTGTACTATCACGGGGGAGCAAAGCCCTGAAGACACAAGATGACAGGACCAAGGCCTTGTTGACAACCTGTGGCAGTACGAAGATCGGATTCCAGGTTGGGCCCAATTTTAGTGTGAACACAAAATCAGGCTTCTGTGCTGTGTGTGTGTGCATATATATTGTATAAAAGTCTAGAGTGTGTACGTGCTCACCCATCAGTGCACTGTAGGGAGGGTACACGTGACAGCATTAAAGTCCAAGTTCTGCCATTAATTCCTGTTGGTTCCTTGTATGAAATGACTGTGATTTCAGGAGCATTCCTAGAAACCTGGAGCAGATATTAAGCACGTATGCAAGCATTGATTCATGTCTTTGAGTCAGTATAGATTGGTATGCATGAGCGAGGACAAGGTCTTGGAGAGGAAATGAATACATCCGCATGCCAGAATTATGGAGTCACCAATGGAACAGGCACATAAGCAAAGTATACCTTTGCAGCATGCTAAGCAAAATAATCACAGGCTTTCTCAGTTAACTGTTTTCCTATTCTTCTTTCTATCACCATGTGAATAGCTACAAACTGGCCTCAGCTGGATGCACAGCGAGATGATTGATGCAATCAACTTGTATGTAATTAGTGACCAAAGTAATAAGGGCAGTCTCCTAATGTTTTGTTGGGATCTGATAACGATGCATATACATCACAGAGACATACACATGGCATTTTCACACACATATATTCATAGTTATGCCCACGGTTACATGAATAAGAGCCATGAATAGTCCTGAAGGCTCTAGTTTGCTGTTGTGTTAGGAGTTTTGGGGGTATGCCAAATGCTGATTGCTGCTACAATGCAACAGTTCCTGTTTGGATCAGAAAGGCCACACAAAAAATGTATCAACTGTTACTTAAATTCATTGTGCAATTTCTACTCTTTTCATTTATTCTATTTTATACCAGCATATTTTTCCATGATATGGACAAGAGTTTCATTTGCTAAAGCTAAGTGCGATGCCACAGAAATCAATAGCGTAATGATAAACTTTCTGTAGCTCGGGATCTGATTCCCAATCTTTTATCTGAGTTACAGTATTGATCGGTGGAAAAAAATGGATTACACATAATACAGGACAATTAAATGCTATGCAATTAGCACTAAGCCTCAAAATGACTGAAAGACCAAGGAATAGACCTCAGTAATCAGGTTTTGTTCCTACTTTTTTAAAGGATGTAAATCCTTAAGTCTCAGCACTCAGGCCAGCCTCTAATTGGTGTATGTTAGGAACACACTTTCCCTATGAGCAAACAGTCCTAATTATCCACTGGTGAATTCCTCTCCAGCATCTGGAGCAATTTATTGTGGGAGGTAGATACTGTTCTGGTAGACCAATGGTTTGATCTTCTAAGGCTATTTGTCTGGGAAACTAGCCAGGCTTGAATACCAATTATCTCATTAGAAATCTGGACTAAGTCCATTGACTTTATTGGGAATGGTTAAATTTGGAATAACTTTCATACAGTGGGCTCATCCAGACTAAAATGCAAATTGAGGACAATATATTTCAGTCTCAACTAGAAGGACCTCTAATACAAGACCACTGGGAATAGAATGAGAGAACAGGGAGCGCATCGAATGCTGTTCTGAGGTAGTGGGACAAGAACATTCCTGCCAGGAAAACAGGTCACAAATTAGTTCCATGAATCTCTGTATTTTGCTGCTATCATTAAGGATTTGTAGATGCAGAGGGGGAAAAGAAAGGGCAATTTAATTTCTTACTTTGGAAATAACAGCGAGGCATTCACCGGAACAAGAAATGTTTTTGGATACATTAAGCTTGACCTTTAGGTTATGCTATGGTAAAGCACTTGGCTAATATTATTCTTCAAAAGCACTCGAGCAAAGTTGCATACAGGCCTTTATTTCTGGTACATAAGCACTGTAAGTTTGATAGCTCCCTGTTAGCTGATCTGTGGCCATAGGTCACTCTCAAATCTTCATTTATGTCAGGTAATGCCATGCATCATTGATTTCAATTGAGGAGATGCTTATTAATAAGATTTAGTGTATTAGACTGTAAGACTAACAGAAAGACCATCTGTGGCATCATAGTGATCCAGAAAGCTGGAATAACTCCTTGCATCCCTATATAATTTTCATTAGATGCTTGCCATAGTTTTCAGTGTTAACAGCTTGTTTAGGGCATCAGCTTGTTTAGACCTATTGCAGGTCTGATGATCTAAGACCTATATGGAAAACTATGTGAAGACTGCAACAGCTTCTGTATTACAAGACATTAAAAATGTGAAGGCTAGATTAGTTTTGGAAGAGGATGAGTAAAAGGTAACATGACGGAGGCATGTAAAGTAATAAATGGCACAAAGAAGGTCAGCTGGAGGCTCCTGGTTTTACTTTTCATAATACAGGAACCCAATTAGATTAAAAGGCTATTCATTTAAAACTGATAGGAGGAAATACTCTTTTCACATACAGCACTATTAGGCAGTGGAATTCATGAGCACGAGGTATTACAGAGACTTTAGGATTGTCCCAAAAGAGGGAGTGTTCACAGAGGCAGAACATACATCTTTAGAATAAAAGGTTTAAAGCGGATATAGACTCATACCTTAGGCTACACATTAAGCACAAGAGACTTGGTACAAAGCTCAGAAAAGCTGGCCCAGATACTGACTTTCATTTCAGAGGGATTTGTTCCTATCCGTGGCACCTTGTTGATGAAGGGAATGCCCTCATATAATTTCATTCCTGGCCATAACGGGAATGATTAGCTTTCTGTCCTCAGCAACTGCAGCAGTAGTTTTTGGTGTTGCAAGTCCCAGACTAAAGAAGCCATCAATCTGAGTGTGATGACAGTGACAGAGGAGCAAATATCCCTAATTCCACTCTTGAATGAAAAAAATTCAGCCTTACATTTAACTGACAGAACCTTATATATCTTTCTGTCAGAAAGATGAATAATTATAATAAATTAAGAACAACTTCTTAAAGAAAACCTTTAGAAGGCACCTTCTTCAAGTTAAGTAACTGTAAGAAGACTCAGGCAATAAGACAGTGCCTCATCTTGGTGACTGCTCATCTGATATCCCAACACATCCGTTACGGTAATGATGCAATATTGTTTTCGCATTGTCATTATTTATTAGCACACCAAAAAAAAACGTTATCCAGATTAGGCTCCTATTATGCTGGGAACTGTGTATACACATGGTAAGATAAGTGCTGCTAAAAAGCACTTGTGATCTCAATTTAAATTAAGCACAACAGGCATAAGTAACAAACAAATGTAGACCATGAGAGAAAATGGCTAAAAGCTCTAAAGATAAGTGCCCAGAGGCTCTTCATCTTTGCTGTTCTTTTTTAAGAAACATAGTAAATGAACTGTTGGGGAAAAAGTGTCTTAGGCACGGGGCTTGAAGTGGATATATCACTGAAAAACAAATTCTGAGAGTCATAATCATAAACATTTATACAGGAAATCTGATGCTGTGATTTATGCTTATCCAATCAGGGATTTAAAATATGCCGTGTAACCACAGACAAGAATCAAAGCTGCTCCAAACACACTTATAAAGAACTGACAAGCTTTAGACCAAGATTTATCAGTAGAAACTATTTCGGAATATCGTGTTGCCAATAGACATGTTTCAGAAAGTTGCAATCACAGAGTATTCACAGAAAGAAGAGTGGATCAAACTGCCACCAAAATCCATTCCGAATCAAATGAATGAGGACTCGAATGGAACTGTTTTCCCTTTGAAAATGTCATTCTTCCAAAATCAAAATATGTTGTGAAATTGTGTTAATTTTGGCCAGGAGGTGTAAAAGAATATCGACAATGATGACATGTCTTGGTTTGGAGTTTTAGAATAAGAATCTCGGCTGTTTCTTTGTGAGATGATTGAAATTCCCCTTTTTCACCTGATAAAATACAAATATCAGCACCAAAGCAAAACAATTCTGTTTTGAAAGCTGGCCAAGTTCCACCTAAAACCAAAGGGTTTGGTTGGTTTTTTTTCATCCATTCCTGTTACATCACTGCTTATAAAAACCTGCTCATGTCTGAGCTAAATGTATTCATGAACCCATCTGTTAGGTCCTTTTATAGCTCGAACAAGACGACATGGGCTGAGACCTACAAAAAGTCATCCTCAGAACAAACAGTACCTCTCTAGAGCTGGCTGCAGGAGGGAATCCATCCTCTGATGGGTTTTGAAGCTGAATTTGCTTAGAAATGTCAAAGAGTTTGAAATACATCTCCCTTTCTCCACTCCATTTTGCAATGCTGAAACAAAACTCAAGCTGTGCTTTACCCTTCTGGGTTGCATGTTTGCTTTTACTTGCGCTGGACTGCTCCTGTTCAGAGCCTCATACCCAGTCATAGAGATATGCACTACCGAAATCTTATCTTTTCTCTGGCTGCATAGCACATGTGGCTGAAGTGTTTTGGTGCCTTTCAGTAAACCGGAGAGGAACTAATTTGGTTCAATCTCTAGTATTAAGTAGCCTTGGCTGGGAAATCCCATTCTCCCACCTTCTTTTTCCATCCCATTTTTGAGCTGCTCCCTCCATTCCTCCTGGCTATTTCCTGCCATTGCACATGATCTGCAGATGCGCAGTCCTCTCAAGACTAGGGAGGAAGGATTTGACAAAGGTCTCTCAGGCAAGGCACTCTAAAAGTGACAAAAACCTAAAACCCTGCTGAGCTAAATGCAACGTGAAAAGGGCAAAGCTAAAGTCGGCTCAGCAGAACCAGTCCCTCCTTTTGCTCAGAAGACACTGTCTCAGCAGAGACCAGGGCTGGCCTGCTGTTACCTTTCAGGTTTGAACAACAGGACTTTTAATGTAGCACTCAGGTGGGAGAAGGAGAAAGTCTGTGCCTGGTGACATTTCTTGTCTCTGATCTCATCTGTGGCCGCCGAAGGTTCATGTGGCATCTTTGAACATGGTGTCTGTCTGGAAGGTGTCACACTGCCAGCAAACATTCTTAAGTGGCTGAGCCGTAGCATGAATTCAGAAGGGAAAACCTGTTATGCTTAGCCTGAATGTCTGAATTAAAAGGAAGAGCTGAAGGTGTTAAGAGCAGATGTCTCCCATACTGTATGTCCCTCTGTTTATTACACAAGCAACCTACTGCTTTAACCCATGCAGAAATAACAAAGGTGCGCAGCCAAAAAGAGAAGTCTCAAAGGGAGACAAAAGCTCCAGAGATTGACTGGGAGGTCTCTGAAGATGTGGCTTCAGTATTAGCATGTGGGGATCATGTCAAAATCCACAGGGGATTGACCAGCAGATTTGGGCTGACGGTTGA